AGTAGATAACTCTGCAAACAGTAGAAGCTGGGGGCCTCTGAGGGAAGGGATGGGGTGAGGCTAGCTGAGCCAGGGAGCTGATCACTTCTCCAGCTCTGCTGGGTGGCCAAGTCTCTGGCCCAACCTGGCAATGTGGGTGACAGTGAGATCTTTTTCCTAAAACATGTGATGGCAAATAGATAGTTGAGGCAAGAAGGAGGACAAAGTAGAGAAAGGAGCTGAGGACAGAGAGAGATGGCGCCAGTGGGAGAGCAAAGGCAGCTCTTGCCTCCTTGGAAGAGAATCTCAGGATGATGGTGGGAAGTATGAGAAAGGTCCCTGGGATTGTCACACCCAGCTCACTGCACAGAGGGGAAACAGGCTTGAGGAGCTGAAGGCAGTTGAGGCTTCCCTTTCTTGTTCTCCCACCAGCTCAGGCTCTGAGCACTCCACATCGCTCAGCAATGAGCCCAGCCCCTGACAGGTAGTTTTTGATTGGTTTATGCTGTCTTGACAGTGGTGGGACAGTCAGCTCTTTCCCAAGTGGTGACGCTCAACCTCAGCTGTACCTCTGGAGTTCTTTATAAAATGATAAAGTAGGCCCGACTGATGGAGAATCTAATTTGACTGATTTTGGGGGAGGACACCTGGGCTGGTTGTTTTAAAAATTGTTCATGTAATTCTAGTGGACAGTTGCTGAGAACCACTGACCTAAAGATGACCTGGTGTCTGAAATGCAATACTCAGGCTGGATCCTCAGTGCGGACAGTCACATTGGAAAGAGACTGTAGCTCAGTTTGTCTGTATATGAAACTGACCTATCACCTATAAGCCATCAGTCCCCCAATACTTTGCTGCTCAAAGTGTGGTCCCTGGCACCAGCACTGCCTATGAGCTTGTTAGAAATGCAGAATCTCAGGACTCATCCCATACCTGTGTTAGACTCTGCATTTTCACAACATCCTGTGTTCATATGTTCAAGTCTGACTACATGCTTGACATGTAACAGACATTTAAGGGATGTCCATTTACTAAACAATTCTATTTACAAAGACACTATTATGAAAAAGGCCACATCTAAGGTAAAGAGTCAGTCTGGGTGTAAACACTGGAGACTGTTTTTGAGCTGTAGGATTGGTGTCAGGGCTCCACCGTGACCCCAGGGTCTCAGGCACTACCATGGCTCAGGAGGGCACTGCTTCAGGGTTCCTGGAGACCGTGATGATGAAACTCACTGGGAAGTATCAAAAGACCTTTTGACCTCCTCACAGGATCAAAAGGCCCTTGACACCCCGTTTCCCACTCCACAGGGCTGCAACCTAACTTGGCAGGCAGTCAGTCCTAAGGCCTCTGTTGCATGGAATCTGTCACATGAGAGGCCGCCCCCTCCACTCCATGTTTTCAGCTCCCATTGCTGAAGCCCAGGCAGCGAGAGCAGTCGACCCAGGAGGGCTGTGTCCAAAGACAGCTGCTGGGAGCAGCGCTCATGGGCATTTCACACCCTGCCCTCTTTGCAGCCAGCATCACTAAGCCGGGTCTCAGAACTTGTGGAGGTAGCAGCCAAAACTGGCCACATGAGGGGCATCCCAGGGGCTGCTGAACTGAACCAGGGGCTGGCTGGGGATCTGAAGCCAAGTGGCCTCAAGTGGATGGAACTGAACAAAAACCTCAGGGAGAAAGGGAGGGAAGTTTGCAGTGGGCCAGGCCTAGTACTGTCTGCCAGAAGGCTGCGTATGAGGTTGTCAGAACACGAGAACCAGGGAAAGAAGATTCCCCTGCGGGTGTTAAGAGGGAAGTGGTTGATGTGCTGTGCCTGCTGCTTTACTTCCTAGACCTCTCAGCTTTGGGCAGTGAGTGACCATGCCTGAGGGTACCCAGAAAGCTCTGCAGCAAATTGCTGCCTCCACAGCCGCAGAGGGGGTGGCAGGGCCAAGGGGGCGCAGGCATATAGTCTGGTTTCCTCTGGGCCTTGTCATCAGGGGCTCAGGCATGACTGTATTCCGCATAGCCAAAGGCTGCCTGTGGCAGATAGAAGGGCCTTGACCAGTGACCCAGAGGTTCAGTGGCCAGATCAAGTTTCTGGTCACAGCCTTGGAGGAGTCCCTCCATGGCTTATGTGAAAGATGGGTTGTGGGTGGTGAAAGGGGGCAAGTGGTAGCCTAAAGGGTGAGCCACATGTGCTCCAGCTGGTATGTGGCCTGCTTCTACCACTGTGGGGAGGGGGACAAGCCTTGCCGCTCAGAACATGGGCCTCCAAAGGTTCCCTTCTTACCTAGGACTGTAGCCATCCCCAGGCTCACGGCCAGTGAGAGGAGAAGGGAGAATTCGAATGCCTTCCCTCCCCAGCAGCCATTTCTCCACCACCACAGGGGCCTCCTAGAAGCCATGCTAGAGAGATGCACAAGCCAGAGGTGATCCCTGCATCCCAGAGCCTTGGGGAGGTGGGCAATAACTGCAGGCATCTGTTTATCACTGTGTACCCCCACAGTTCCTGAGTGAAGTCCCAGTCCTTCCTCACTGAGGGACAGAGCTGCATCTGTGGACTGTCTCTCATCCCAGAATCCTCAGCCTTGAGCTAGTGCCCAAACATTTGTGGCTGTAGGGCAGCAGGGGCTGGAACAGAGGGCGGGTGCTGCAGGAGCTAGAGGGGGCTTGCAGTAGTGCTAAATACCATCTGAAGCATGGGTGAGGGTTGCCCTGGGAAAGGGCTGGATATTTAGGGTGGCAGGGGAAGTAAACTCTACATTGGGCAGGGGAGAGTTTGTCCACGCAGGGTGTAGCTGGAAGCTCAGCTTAGCTGTGGGATGGTGGGAGCAGGGGTAGGATGTGGGAGAGCCAGTTCTCTGTGCTGGACAGAAGACAGCATCAGTAGGTGGGCCTCTGGGGCTGGCTGCACATCCCATATCACTCAGGAAAGAACTACTGCTGAACCATATATAGGATAAGGTGGTTTAGAGGGATGAGGGGAGCCAGGTCTGTTTCAGCTAGTGGCAAAGCAGTGTGGAAGGAAAAGGCTCACTTGTGCTCCTTCCCAAGGTCCCAACTCATCGCCAGCAGACAGGGGCCAGGCTCGAACTGCTGCTGCTTGAGCCTGGACCAGTGCCTAGTCCCAGCTTTCTGTTCAGTGCTATCCACCTCAGTGTTTGCTCAGCTGTGTCTCAGCACAGTGAGTCCACTAGAAGGTGCTGGCTGCGGGGTGTGAGTCCAACAGCTCAATAAGTTCCTACTGTGCGGGGACACTGGGAGCCTGTCTGAGCCAGTGCACTGTGTGGCTGATCAGAGGCAGGTGCAAGGGTCAGTGGGCCCCTTTTGTGGCCAAGCATTTTCCAGGCATGATGCTTGGCTGGACACTTGTGAGCAAGGTTGCTCTTCCCATGGATGGCTAGAACACACGCCTGATTTGGGGTGGCCCCTGTAACCAACTATCTTCCCTGGGTGCCCCCTATTCTGTGTGTCTGTCTGCCACAGGGACTGGCTAGGCTACTTGGAGTTGGCAGCCATAGTCTGGAGTTCTTGCACCATTCTGACCCTTCAGTTAAAAAAAAAATACCAAACCCAAGTCTAAGGCCAACTCCTGTCCCTGACTCCCCCATGCTTGGTGGAACATGGCAGACAGGCTTCTCCCTGCCGGTCACCCTCTATGCTTTCCCAGGACATTCCGGCCCACGAGGAACATGCCCGATGTGCAAATCCCTCAGGTAATGCAGGAATTCATCACCAGGGGAGCGCGGGCGATCCAGGAATGGGAACCTGATCAGGGCCTGGATCTGGAGAGAAGCAGCCTGGGCTGGCCAGGGAGGGCTCAGGTTGCACTGAGCGAGACACACATGGAAGCAGAGAGGACAGGCAGGCATGGGGTGGTGCAGCCACAGGCAGATGGCCCACAGTGACCTTCTCCTCCTCCCACTTTCAGGGAAGAGACAACAACCCTGGGCTGGGTGGCAGAAATGAGGGTGACCATGAACCTTTGTTTATACCTGTTGTCTGGGTGTAATTCTGAAGGGAGCCCCTTTGGCTATCAGGAGTATGGCAGTTTGGACAATCTGATACATGGTCATCCTAGTTACCACAGACCCGCAAGTGGTTCCTTTATCCTATTTTCATAACTTCCAAGTGACCTTCTTTTCTGATCTGGACCAGATGCTCCATGTACATCTTAACGAGTCTCTCAAGCACAATGTAGCAGGAGATGTGGCTTTCTCCCAGCTCAGAGTCTCCATGGATGGCTCACAGACCTGGTGTGGATACACAGCCATGTTCCCTGCTACTTCTCCCTGACGTCACCAGTTCTGAAGCCACCAGTTTATACAGCTGCTCACAACAAGAGAGGAGGTACTTGTGAGAAGAGACAGTGCAGGGCTCAGCCTACGCACACACTGACAGCCTCTGTGCACTCCCCTGAGACCACAGGTGGATGCTGGCCCCATGGTGGCAGGAACGAGAAGGACTGGGGCTCAACTCACTGGAGTGAAGGGTTAGTCAGCGGAAGGTACCAAGGAGCAAGACAATGTTTGGTTGCTATGTTTTTCCTCTGTTCACACCTCCAGTGTCTCAACAGACAGACTCTCTTACAAAGCTTTGCTCCAACCCATCTCAGTCCCAGCTATACCAACTGCACAGCCACCAAGCTCTGAGAGGCTGGCCCTGGAGGGGAGGATGAAGAAGAGAGAGGTACTTGAATAACAAGCTTATGTCTGCTCAGATGTGCAGAGGTCAAAGCCCAGAGCCAGCAACTACCCCGCTTATCATGAAAATAGAAACAGGGAAAGGCCGGTTGAACAAAAAGCACCTATAAAATTACATTGGTCCTTCGTAACCATGGAGCACTCACACAAACACACAAATGCAGCCACTTACCCCTCACCCCTCGACCGCTTTCTTATTTTCTATAATTAATTGGGCAAGGGAGGAAGAAAGTCGGGACGAGTTCAGCAGTGGTCAGAACTTGCAGCCCTCCCCACTAGCAATAACCTTCACGCAGGGGCAACGAACATGGGCAGCAGCTGTCGGTGTCCGATTACCTGGAGCATGTTGAGGAGCAGGCTCCGAAACTTGGTCCCCTCCACCATGAAGAGCGCCATCTTGTCACAGAGCTTGGCAGCTGTGAAGGCAAAGCTACGGTCTGACACAGCCTTCTGGTAGATGGTCCGCACGATCTCACCTAGCATCTCCTCAGAGTTGGTAGAGTTCTGGGCCTCCTCCATGAAGGTGGTGAGCTTGGCATCTACGTCGCTGCTGTTATTCCGCATGCTGTTCAGGATCTCGATCAGCTTGTCCATCTTGTTTTGCTGAGGGTTGGTTGTTTCCACCATCACTTCTTCCTGGGGGTGTGGGGAACAAACCGAGTGTACCTGAGTGCAGCTGGGGTGTTTGGGTGTGCAGGTGGCCTGGGGGAAGGAGGGCTGTCATCCCTAGAAACAGGGATCTGAAATCAGCTTCCCCAGACCAAAGACACTCATGCTCCAAAGGCTGACTTTTTTCTTGGCCCCTGTGATGTCCTGGGTTGACATTTCTTGTGAGTTCTAGCTCCTACACAGGATTCTCATTGACTTCTTAAATTTGTCTACATGTTGATTAGATGTCTTAATCTAGCGCTGATTTAATAGGGCTTATTAAAGATGAAATAAGGTAACAAATAAGAAATTGGGCCAAAGGGAAGATAAAGATAGGAAAACCAGGCCAATAAGGTGAGTAGAACCCAAAATGCCTTCAGTGTTGGTTAGAGGTGGCCTAAGAGCTGGGCGTGATGGTGCATGTCTGTAATCCCAGCACTTGGGAGGCTCAGGCAGGAGGATTGTTGCGAGTTCAAGATCAGTCTGGGCTACAAAGTGAGCTCATAGTGAGCCTGAACTGCATAGCGAGACCAGTCTCCTGAGATGGCCACTGTGTATCTTCCACATCATCTGTTCTCTGGGCATAAGATTCCACAAGGACACAGTCCTGGCTTCACATCTTGTGGAGACTATGCTGTCCCTTTACACACAACTATTATAAACCAAGGAATCTCTGAACGTGACACTTGAGTGGCTGAGGCCCGTAGGAGGGAAATTTCAGGAAATAAGGCTACATCCCTGTGAAGTTTCACAGAAACTGGGACCAGACCAAAGGCAGCAAAGGAAGAAAATGGCATTTAGCTGTCTCAGAAATATGTATTCAAACACAGCTAACTGGTGGCTGAGAATCTGACCAGCTTTAGGCTGGGATATGAGAGCTGGTTGAAGGGCAGGATCAAGGTCATATGATGAGGTCCTGCACTTGTCCTGTGTTCTGGACACCAGACCTCTGGGCCGAGAGGCACAGAATGAGGCTCTGTATCCTGCTCTCTGCCTCCAGCCATGTGCACCAGGTAGGCAGTTTCTCTCTGAGGCTGTTTACTTGGAGGTAACATGGTGATGTCAGAAGTGATCTGGAGCTCTCCGTGAGTTCTACCGTTTGGAGTCAAGTTCCAAGGGCAGCTGCTCTCCACTTGAGAAGGGGATCGTACGTGAGGGGAGGTTTCTGGGAGGTGCTTCTTTCCCTTGAGCCTCTCCAACCCATCTGACTGCTTGACTCCCTGGATGGGTCAAGAAGATACAACTCTCCATTCTCATGGGTTCCTAACCTTAACCACATGTGCAAACGAGGACAGAAGGCTTGCTCTTCTTGATGAGGTCCTTGTTTAGGAGGGGACTAGAGGCTCATCTGTCCCAGGGTTTGCTCATTTTGGGGGACAGCCAGCAAAATAGGGAGTGATACAGGATGAGCCTAAGCCCATGTCCTACTGGCCCAGAAGGCCTCACCTGAGACAAGTCCTCGAAAGTGACCTGAGGGCGCTGCAGATTTCCCTTATCTGTTTCAACCCTCATTACCCCTATATCCTAACCACTTGGGTCCCCTGGCGGGAACAGTGGTCTGTGGATAGAATAATAATTACCCACAAGGGTCTCTACACAGGTCACCTCATTTAATTTTCACATCTTCTCCACAAGGTAGGTGGCAGTGCACCCATTTTACAGCTGAGTACACTGGTGCTCAGAGAGGTTAGGTGACTGGTCATCTGGCCAAAGGCAGGACTGAGTCTGGCCTGCTGGGCCCTAAAGCCTGTGCATTTCTCTGTGCTGCCCTGCATTACCTCTTGCAGAGCTCTAGAGAACTCAGTCAGCAGCCCTCCTTTCAGCCAGCTTCTAGAAATGAGTCTGGGAAGCCAACTGGTCTGAGGCACTCTAGCCATTGGCTAGGAGGTTCTGCCAGTTGTCCATTTACGGGATGGAAGGATGTGAGGGATACTTTCCTCTTGACCTCCCTGCTCTGTCCCCACAGGGAGGAGCAGGGTGGGACTCAGGGTGTGGGGGCACAGGTGTGGCATTTTGGCTTTGAGAACTGACCCAGGAAGAGAGCACCCTGCTTTAGCCTGACTGAAGTTGATCCTGGGCCTGGCCTCTGGGGAAGAGGTTGAGAGAAGACAGCTGAGGGAGGATGGAGGAGAAGCCCAGAACCCCAAGCTCTGAGGAGGCCCTGGGGGGAGAACGCCTCAGCTCTTCCTGCTATGTAGGAATGGCTGTAGGCAGGTCAGCCTTCCTGGGAATGGTTCCTTTCCAGGTGACCTTGCTTCTGCCCTTGGTGGGCACGGGAGCTGGGGTGGTGGTGCTCAGGCAATCCTATTTCTTTCCTGGTGGCTTGGCTCTAGAGACCAGAGTGAGGCAGGATAGGCTTTGGGTGGCAGATGGAGGTGGCCCAGCTCTCAGGGTCACACCAGTGCATCTGGCATCTGGGCTATGCTGGTACAACCCCCTCCAATTTGTACCTTTGAGCTCTCACTGGCTGCCAGGAGGTGAAGTAGGGGACACGAAGGCTGAGGCCACCTGTTCCCACTCTGCCCGGTTCACCTTCGTTCCCATCCCAATAGAAACCAGGTCAGCATGGGACTTGTGTGAGGGAGAGTCAGTTTTCCACATTTCCCCAATTGCGATTCAGCATGTAGAGAGCAGGGTCTGACCCCCAGAAAATGCTCCCGTCACCCTCCGGCATCATCCCAGGCATGGGTCTCTTCCTCCCAACTTTTCCTCCCTCTCAGGCTGATGGTTGGTACCAACCACCCATGTGTTAGAAGGGCTCATGCCACCGACTTGTCCTTTAGCGGCCCAGTGGCACCCATAGTAATGGCGGCTTGGCCCAGTGGGTCCACATAGCCGTGCAAACCCCTGCTCCTCTCCACAGCTCCCCAGACCCTCCAACCCACAAGGCTCCGCCCAAGCCCCCCCAACCAAAGTGCCTACCTCTCGGCTGTCCTCCCGGTTGGAAGAGAACAACAAAAATTCAATTACCGGTACCTTTTCTTTTAGCCTTCGCCGCAGCCTGTCTTTGGAGGACTGGAGCAAGGTAATTTTGGGCCGCTCCCCCATGCGTTCAGGAATAATACTGTCTTTACGCTTTGTCTCAGCCTCTGGCCCCCCTGGCACCAGTGTGGGTAGCCTCTCGGACGCTGGCGGAGCTGGGGCATCAGGGCTGCGAGGGGGCTCAAGGCCACTGGGCCCGGTGTCCCGTGGGGTGTCCTCCAGTTTGGGACTCTCGATGGTCACGGTCTCTTTGGCATTGCGGTGGGCACCTGCCTCCCCCTTGTCGCCTGGCGGGTGCTTCATATTGCTGTGGTGCCAGCGCCGGTTCTGGCTGTAGCCATGGTGGGTGGGCCTCCCTGAGGCATGAGGTACTGGGCCCCCTTGGTAGGACTTCTGATGGTCCCTGTTGTGTTTGGCACTGCCTGGCTGGTGATCACTGTGCTGCTGGGGCTTGTTCCCTCCCGGAGGTCTCTGCTGCCGTCTGCAAATGGAAGGAGAAAGACAGAGTGGTCACTGGGTGGCCAGAGAGGGTCTCTGTACCTGAACACTATGGCAGGAAGTCATGGTTGTGTCCATTTGTTGATTCTTTCAACAAACACTTGAGAATCTCCTATGTATCAGGCTCTGTTGAAAAACAGCCAGACAGGTCCTTCACTAAAAATCAGTATTTTATTCACTTATTAGAAGATGCATGTATATAGGCATGTGGAACCACAGAACGATCCAACAGAAGATGCAGAGAACCCGCTTGCCTCTGCCTAGGCCATCAGTTATGTCCCCAAGCTAAACTGAGGTTATCAGAGTGGGCCTTAATCCAACTAACTCGTGTTCGTATAATGACAGGAAATTTGGACACGGAGAAACACCAAAGCTGCTATGCATGCAGAGAAAGGCTCACGCAAGGACATCAGTGGCTATCTGCAACCTAAGGAGAGATGCCTCAGAAGAAACCAGCCCTACCGACACCTTGGTCTTGGACTTTGGCACCTGGAGTTATGAGAAATAAACTTCTGCTGTGTTAGGCACCAAGTTGGTGACACTTTGTTATGGCAGCCCTAGCAGACAAATGCAGAAGTGATCTTTAACACGGTGGTTTTAGGCAGAAATAGGGCTCCCAGTTACTTCTTGGCGATACTTTCTAAGCAGAGTATGGCGCATGGAACACATGGAAACTGGGGGCCGAGCCGCAAACATCTGGACCTGTGGATGGATGGCAGGTGACGGAGGAGCAGAGGGGCATCCTTCGGACTTCCAGCTTGTGCCCGAGGCTGCGTCCTGCCACACACAGCACTCGGGGTCAATTTCAGTGTCACCCTCAGGGTAGTTTCTGTGCCACCACTTCACTGGCAGGGCAACTGGAGGACAGGAAGCCATGTGCCCTTCAGAAGTTGTAAAGTGGTGAAGAAACTGGCAGAAAGATGTCACTTCCCCAAGAAGGAGCCCACACCTCCTTCCTGCCTATCTCGGCACCACAGACCTTCACTGCATTTTATAAACAGACAGTACTTATTCACTTTCTAGTGATTGTTTATCACTCAGTTTCAATTTCTGTCCGATAAATTTTTATTTGTGAAAATTTGGGGGTATCTTGGGTTGGGGTAAAATGTATTATTTCTTTCTCATTAAAATTAGTTTCATGGAAAAGCTTTCTACTTGGTGACATGGTTTCGAGGGAATTAAAATGGTTAAGAGAGGGACAAATGTGTAGCCGTCTTTTAGTTTCCACCAAAAATGGTAACTTAGAACCCACTGTATCTTAGAAGTAGAAATTAATAAGAGCTTTCTTGAGGGAAATCTGACAATTTTTTTTCAAAAGCTTCTAAAACATGCAAGCAGTGATTTTTGCAATGCTACCCGTGGTAGTGAATCCAAAGGAAATGATCAAAGATGTATGCAGGGATTTCAGCACAGTGATATTTAGCACAGCAAAAGTGGAACATGGAGTAATTAAGGCTGTAGCAACAAAGTTCACTCTTGTTGATGGAAGTGTGGTGTCATTTAAGGCAAGTATTTATATACGTAGAAAAATCTGGGAGGATACAGATTTAGCCACTAAAATGTTAACAGTGGCTATCTCTGGGAGATGAGCTGTGGATTTTTTTCTTTTATGTTTTATTTATTTTTTCTAGATGACCTTGATTTTTTTAATTAAACTTTTTTTTTGAGAGGCAATTATAGATTCACATGCATTTTAAGAAATAATACAGAGAGATCCTTGTGCCCTTTACCCAGTTTCTGCTCATGGTAAAATCTTGCAAAAACCATGGTATAGTATCACATAGGGATACCTACACTGGCACAGTTATGATACAGGACAGTCTCAGCACAAGCCCCCTCCTCTGGGTCTTTTACAGTTACACCCACTTCCATCTCACCCCATCCTATCCCCACCTCCTGGCAACCACTCACCCATTCTCCATTTCTATGAAGTTGCCATTTTGAGAATGTTGTAATAAGTGTGATCCTACATTTTTGGGATTGGTTTTTTTCATTCTGTACCACTCCCTGGAGATCCATCCTGGCTGTTGAGTACATCAAGGTTTGTTCCTTTTGGTTGCTGAGTGGTATTCCACTTATGGATGTACCCCAGTTGTTTATTCACATGTGGGAGGGCATCTGGGTTGTTTTTGGTTTGGGACAATTATGCATCAAGTGGCTCTGTTGTTTTCTTTTTAAAGGGAAAAAATAAAATTTCAAAACAAGATAATAGGAGGGTAATAATGGTTAATATATTGTGTATTGTTATCTTTAAATTAGTTACTTAGAGTACAAGATACTGGCATTTAATTGTCCAAACAATATTAGCACAAACCTTTCGTTTCAATGAACCAAGAGAAATTAGTAGTATATCTATCTATCTATTTAAATTTTTTTTTTTTTTTGTGGTTCTGGTTTTTGTTTTGCTTTTCTTCCGGTACCAGGAATCGAACTCACGACCTTGCACTTGCCAGGCAGGCAGGCGCTGTGCTGCTGAGCTAAATCCCCAGCCTGCGGTTCTGGTTTTTGTATGAACATGGCTTTCATTTCACTGGGATAAATGTCCAGCCTTGCCACTGCTTGATCTTAAGGTAGCTGCATATCTTTTTTTTTTTTTTTTTAAACTCTCGAACAGCTTTCTATAGACACTGTACTGTTTTACCATCTCATCAGCAATGCAGGAAGGGTTTGAGCCATGATTAAATGATCTTTGTTTTAGTCCCACTCTTTCCCCCTATGTTTGGGATTCCAGTGATGTGGATGTTAGACTTCTGTCACAGTGCTCAGGTCCCTGAAACTTAATTCCTTCCCCTCTAGTCTTATTTTTCTCTGCTCCTTGTATTGGGTAATTGCTACTGTGCTGTCTCGCATTCTCTTTCCTTTGTCCCTCCAGCTTAGTGTAGGGCCTATTCATTGAGTTTTTAATTTAACATGTAAATTTCCATTTGGTACTTTCTTGTATCTTCTATTACTGTGCCAAGACCCATTTTTTTCATGTTTCAAATATATTCTAGTTGTTCTTTTAAGTGTTATTTTTTTTTTAAATAATGGCTGCTTTAAAATTTTTGTTGGATAATTCTAAAACACCTGTCTTCTTGGTATTGGCATCTATCAATTGTCTCTCTTCCAATTTGGGATCTACCTAGTTTTTGGTATGATGAATGATATTCAGCTGAGACCTGGACATTGGATATTATGCTGAGACCCTGGATTTAATTCTACTTGCTGTCTTAGTTGCTTTGTGAATCATGGGGTGGGGGCTGGACTTGTTACTTCCCAGTGGGGTACAAGTCTATGTTCCCCAGTGGGCCAACCCTGGCACCGAAAGGGGTTCCTCAGTGATACTGGTAAGGGGTGGAGGTCAGCTCTCCACTGGGCTTCCACTCACACTGTGGCACCAGGAGCTGTCACCGCTGGGAACTCTCATTAGGCTGCCTCTGCCACTATCTTAGCACAGACAGGTAGGGGTACTTTCTTTCTGCTGGGTGGGGTTGGGCCTCACTACTCTCCAAGCAGTCTCCTCTGACACAGGGAGAGGTGCTCATTATTAACTGCAAAGATGAAAACCCCAATTCTCCTTATTTAGTCTCACTGATACCAGCCTGGTGGGGGTAGGGTGCCTTGTTAAAATTAGAGAGGAGTCTACGCCCTGTCATGAGCCTTCCCTGGAGTGCAGGATGGAGCCATAGCTTTTCCTGGGGCTTTGGGAGGGAGGAAAGTGGTTGCACCCTGAAGTGCTCTGTTTTGTTAGACTGCCCTTCCCTGGTCCCCTGGCTAGACTGAGTAGGTTTCTTTGTGGGGGCTGTTTTTTTTTTTTTTTTATTGTCTGCCTATTCCTCATGGTATTTCTGGGTTTCTTGTCTCTTTAGCTCCAGGTCTGGGGAAGAAAGTTGAAGAAACTTATGGTGCCAGGTCCCCGGTTGGTCTGCTTTCTTCTTCTCACCTTTCAGAGCCTTCTGATATTTGTTTTTACATATAATGCCCAGAATTTTTAGTTGTCTGTACTTATTTTAATAATTTTGGAGTCATTATAAGCATACTATGGAAATGTGGTACACTGAGATGAATCCTGATGACTGGGTGTCCCCAGGTCTGAGGAGGCCTGTGTGGTGTTCTTGTCCTTGCCCACGGTCTACTTTGTTGGGTTCTGATGGACACTCCTGGGCAATGGTCATGCTGCCCTGAACCTTAGATGGAAGAGGCAGCCCCTCTCAGCCCCAAACAGCCCTGTACACATCTGGAATCACTGCTATATTTAATCTCACTCCCCAGGGTGTAAGAGTAGGGTCAGAGCCACAGGCACTGGTACCTGGGTAGAGCTGAGCCCATCAGTAGAATGGAGCCCCTGAGTCAGGTCTCACCCAGCAATCGTATCACCAGTTGGTGCCCCGATAGCCTGGAGCAGATGCCCAAGTCATCTCAGAAGGTGACAGCCCTCATTCTGAGGAGCATGAGTCAACCAGCCCTGGAGTGCAGAAGGAACCCCAGGAGAGCTGAGGGTGGTGCTCGGTGCTAGAGTGCTTGCTTAGCGTGCACAAGGCCCTGGGTTCCAACACAGTGGTGGGAAGAAACTCTGGTGCCCACAGACAGCTCCCTAGGGTACTGCATGCCCATGATGTTTTGTGAAATTTTTCTCCTTTAATTTCTCAATTACTTTCAATTAACGGGTCCCTTCTCCTTCTAGTCTCTTTGTTCTCTGAGTGTGAATTATTTTTTGGCCCAGAAGGAAACTTGGAAATTCCCTGGCAGATAATGCTCAAGTCTCACAATTTTTGTCATCCTTATTTAGAATTTTTGTGGTGCCTGTAGCTATGGCCCAAGAAATGTCCCTAAAGGATGGCTGACCAAGCCCTTCCCAGCATCCATCTTAAAGCTGTCTAGTTTCCAAATTGCCATTTCAGGGATTTCCCTCTCTCTGCCCAACAGCACCCCCCCTCCCCTGAAAAAAGAAAAAAGGGAAAGAACTCTGTCTACCTGGAAACGGAAGGAAATAATTTCTACATG